GGCGTCGTTGCCGGAGAATAATTTAATTTGAGTTTATTAGTTATTTTTGGACTTGAAGTTTTACTTATTTCAGGCTATTCATTGAACGAACTAAGTCTCTTGTTTTACTCTTTTCAGGAAATCATACTTTGTGCAAGATTCTAACGAGATCGAGTTTCTTCCAATTGATCCCAAAATCGAAAGAACCTTCAGAAAACGAAGAATAGAACAGAAGGAAGTAAGGGAAATGGCAAAAAATCAAAATTCGAATCAAATTCAGAATCCATTACCACTACCTCAACCAGTTCAGCTAAATCAGTCGACGACAGTAGCAAATGATGGAGAAGCTTTAGTGAGGGATTATGTAAATGCCATTCATGCTCTAGTGCAACCATTTCCCTTACTTCCTTCTGTTGGACATATTTAAGCCTTGTTGATGCTGTACAACATGATTAGTCACGAGAGCATGTCTGTTGACGCTTTTCGAATGCATTTATTCCTACGCATCTTAAAGGACAGTGCACAAGATCTGCTAAACTCACTAATCCCTAGTAGCATAGTTTCATAGAATGACATGGTGTATAAATTCACTTTGAAATTCTTCTACCTTCTCAAGTCCATCAACTCAAAAATGAAGTCCATACTTTCAAGCAAAAAAACCTTGAGAGCTATCTGAAAGCTTGGGAAAGATTCAAAGATTACTTTAGGAAGTGCCATAATCTGAACATTCCTAAAGACTCTAAGATCTTCATATTCTATTCAGGCTTGAGACCTGAATTCCGCAACATAGCCAATGCTTTCGTAGGAGGGTCAATATTGGATATTCCATTGGACAACGCCTTGGACCTATTTGAGAGAATTGCAGAGAATCAATCCATGTGACCAATAGACAAGAAAGTGTCAAGGAAAGCAACAGGAATACACAACGTTGACACAGTTACATCATTACCAGCCTAAATGGAAGTATTGAAAAGTAGGTTAGATAGCCTTACTCAGAATGTGAACAAGGTACGCGAAATGAAACCGATTTGTGAAGGTTGGGGGGCTGATCATACTACAGAAATATGTCATTTAGCCTCCACGCATGTAATCCAGCCTGAGGAGGTTAGTTATACGCAAAATTTTTCGAGGCAACAGAACAATTCCCACTCCAACACATATAATTCGGGGTGGAAGAATCATCCAAATTTCTCATGGACTAAGAGTGAGACTGATTTTCAAAACCAACAGACAATTATTCAGATCCAACAAGCTGTGATTAAAAATTTGGAGACACAAATGGGTCAAATTGCGGTTGCATTAGCGGGGAGAACTCGAGGTACCCTACCAAGCAACACAAAAAAACCTAATAGAACAAGTATTAGAAGTTGAAGCTGTGAATTGTGCAATTATTGAGACACCATCATACAAGTCTGCTACCCTTGTTCGAGCTTATGTGCCATCTGTTCCATTTTCTCAAAGGCTTCGAAAGAAGCCTAAAGAAGAACTAGTCCAGACCATCACAACGAGAAGTGGAGTTCAGTTGCCAGAAATTACTATGAAGAAGAAATGGATCGACGAGAATCAAGTACCTACCATGGGCGAGGAACAATTGGTTCAGTTTGAAGAATCAACAATCCACATGTTAAAGCAATCGTTCATGTCAATAAACACATACCTTCAGACTCATTTCCTCAAAGGTTACAGAATAATAAGCTGGAAAATAAATCTAAGAAGTTCTTGGATGCACTCAAACAACTTTACATCAACATTCCCTTCACTAACGTCATTTAACAATTCCAAATTACAAAAAAAAATTCTAAAATAGATGTTGGCTAAGAAGAAAAAACTGCTTGTGCAGTCGATACAAGACTGAAAACTCTCTTTTCAAGCCACCATGAATAGCCAAAACAACAAAATTAAGCTAATGACTATAAACAAGCGCTTATTGGGAGGCAACTCAATCTTCTTCTCTTTTATTTATGTTTGTTTTCTAGAATATAGACTTATAAATATTATTGCTTTTAATTAGTATAGGGTATCTTCATCCATATATTTCCCTTTAGGATGTGTTGGAGTTTATTATAAATTGCTCCATGTTATGATTGATTTTTTTCATTTTGAATGAACATGAAACTTGAACATATTGGACAACGAAAAATACATAGCAAAGTGATTCAACACCTTCATGTCAATCTGTCCACAGCCTTCAAATTGATATCAAGGGAGAACTTAGTTCCCTTCTTTACCCTTAATTTTTGTATATTGCTTGTTATATTTTTAGACATTGAGTGCAATGTTTGTTATAAGTTTGGGGTGGGAAAAATCGAGTTTTAATTTATTTTTATTTTTTTGTCTTGTGTGCCTTTTTGCGTGCAAAAAAATTAAAGTAAAATAAATAAATAGTAGAGTTTATTTTCAACTTTATTTCGTCTTTTTATGTATTTTTGCATGCTTGCATGGTCAAATAATCTACTGACAATGATTTATATATTGGAACATAGAGTTAGGCTATAAATTGTGGATAAGTTATATGTTAAGTTAGTTTGTGTTTATTTATGTGGACTTGATATTTTTTAGCACAAGATTTATGTTCTACATTGTCAAGAAAATGTTTTATTCATATTGTGGAGTGGGTTGAAAATAATGGACCTTAGATTCATAACCTGAACAACCATTATGTTATAAGTCCTTCGACCAATTTTAGAATAGTTTGGGAGTAATTGAGTTGTTGTAGGGGGACATTGAGACAGATGTGGATTCTCTGTGTGCTAAATTTTGTGTAGATTGTCTAAGGTCAATGAGATTAAAATTGATTTGAAATCTTAAGCTGACAGTCGATTTTTTAGAATGAGTGTTTAATAAGAGCCATTGCACAAATAATAAAAAAAATATAGAAAAACATAATAAATGTGTTGTCATCTTATTGTGAAACTTCTCTTTATAGCCTTTATGACTGGAGTGATTAAGCCTGCAAGAGTATCTAAAAACCTGGTACCATATAGTCGTCTGACTTGAAAGTTGTCGACTGAAAGCTCGCTACAATGGTCTTTTAGTAAGTTTAATGGAGAGAAGTCTACACAAAAGATGAAAATAAAAATTTGATATGTATTGATTAAGCCTCGAACCTTGGAAAGAAAACCAGAAAGAAGTGAGACTTTTCCTCTTCCTATTCAAGGAAGAGTTTCACCATTAGCAAGGGTAATACTCATTTGATCAAAATCCTTATGGAAATCAACTTCAGCCTGCTATTTAACCTACAAGGGACGGCAAGAACGAGAGACAACATATCAAAACCATATTTCTCACCACGAGGAGAGGACTAGCACAAGTGACAAGATTCAAAAACAATTAATACGAGAGATTGAAGATTCAAAGTCCAGGCTAAAGATTAACGAAAAAGAAATTGATTTTTCACTTTCCATTCATTGTTTTCAATTTCGGGTGATGTTTTCCCAAATTTTTTTTGTGTAATTTACATAACATGTTAGGCTAATTCTTTTCATGTATTGGATGAAGATAAAACATTTTTATTATTTATTTTAAAATATATAGTTAGAAATGGCAATGGACCGAACCGAGCCTGCTCGGCCCGTATGCACATGAGCTCGGCTCGTGCTCGTCACGAACCGAGCTTCTACTCGGTTCGTTACTCATGGGCCAAGCTCGGCTCGGCTCAGCTCGGCCCGTGAGCTCGTGGCTCGTGGGCCAAGCCGAGCTTCGGCTCGTGAGCTCATAATTATTTTTTTAAAAAAGATAAACCTTTTTTAAAAAAATTAAAAATTAACCATTCGCCAAGAAGAGCCCATGAGCCGCTCACCTAGCAATTCAGCCTGGTCGTGCTTGTGCTCGGGCTCGTCAAATGACAAACCCGAGCCTCCTACGAGCCGTTCGGCCCGTTTGCCACAACTATATATAGTTGCTTGTTTTAGTGTTGAGAGACTTACAATATGTCTAGAATATTGCTTGATTAACATACGTGCAATAGATATTAGGAATAATATTTATCACGTGTGCAATCTTTGAGATAATTGTGAAATTGAATACGTTCTATTTATTCGAATTCGGACTAGGAATAGATTCAGGTTGTGACTAGAATAGATTTAATTTGTTTTGAAAAAGAGAATTAATTACAATAAAATTATCGATTGTCAAGAATGTATGAATGGTACTAGCTATGTAATTGAGAATTGAAATAAATAATAATATTTGGATTCGTAATCCAATACACTAATTTCATATAAATACAAAACTCGAATTTTACAAGCTTTCGTAGATTGATTTAAAATAATTATCAACCACAAATCTCTTTTGTTGGCTCACTTTGAATATGATTAAAAACTAGTTCACTTAAATTGAATTTATTCCCTGTGAGACTCTCAACTCATCAATTATATTATTTGTAAACGATCCCTTAAGCTTGCGTGTTTTGCAAGAACATGGATCTTAGAACCTATGACTTCAAACTTGCCTGTAGAAGGTTTAGATTTAAGGAACATCCCCCCGTCTGAGGAATGATTAAGAAGTCGCACCTGCTTTCATTGTTTATCTTATGAGGATTGTAGTGAAAAGGTTTTTTTTAACTCGTCTGTAGATTATTGCCTCATCTTGCCATTATTAACATCTACATCCCGCATTATTCATTTTCCTCCATGTCTGCATTTAATGCTCGTCGTGATAAAATCAATACCACAAGAATGCTAAATGCAATGAGAGCTTCTGGCAAGTGGATTAAGAAAAGTACTAGTTTCTGGCTAGATTTAGCTGCCTTGACACAATATATGTAGCCAGTATTTCTATTTTGAAGGAAGAGTAACTGAGAAGCGTAACAAACAAGATAGTTTTCTAAATTATGGCTGTGTAGAAAACAGAACTGTATCGGATGTCAACTGCTGTCAAATTCTTCAATACAGAATCCCAGATTGTGTAAACTTCTGTGCGATACATATAATATCCCAGTCCTTTGCATGTGTATCTTCATTTTTGACTGCCTATGTAGTGAACGCATTCAACATAAGAGGCAAATTACGAAAAAAGCTTAATTAGCTATCTCCCCTGTTTGTTTTCTTGCTTTTCTTCTGCTTTTGCTTGAGCTGAGTGAGGCCTGCTGCTGAAATCTTCACATTACCAATAATAGCAGCAACAAGCTCAGGATCTGTGCAAGCTTTCATTAATTCCTTCTCTCTGCCCGTTGCCTCCGGTAGGTGATTAAATAAATTCATGGCTGTCTTTGCCGCTGCATAATAGTAGCTAAAGTCAATATGAATTGCTGATGAAAAAAATGGTAAACTAAGCAATAACAGAAGCCGAACAAGACAAGGAAGAGAGTAATGTCCCACTCCCACAAGCAATAACGGTTTCATTCAACATCACCAACAAAATAAATACACATTTCTGAAGTTCTTTGAAACCAAAAGAATATTCCAATTTCATCTTGAGGGAGAAAAACCATGGAAATATATTTTCTACAATGGCATGTAACAAAATTTATCTTAAAAAGATAAAAACTACTAACTATAGTTACCTTTTCCTTTCTTTACTGTTCCTGGAATTATCTTGACACGATATTTATATAATTGTAAAGCGCTATAAGGACCACAGACAGGTGCTGCGTACAATAAGACATCATTAGGCAGCGGATTTCCAGTCAAGTAATCCACATCATTTAATTTCCCTTTCTCTTCTTCACCAATCTCATGAATATCATCTTCTTCCATGGTCACCCTGTCCATCTCATTGACAGCCTTGTCCCCTCCACTACTTGCATTATTAAGCACGGTTTCAAAGGGCTGTTCTGGACAATCTCGAGACGTATGACCTGCCTTTTTACATTTGTAACAAATTTTTGAAGCATCTCCAGTTTCTGCATCTGATAACCGTCAAAAGAAGTACTTCCTTAGGAAAAGATTGACAGAAGTATAATTCATGAACACCAAGAAAATGAACATGTCAGTGTAAATGACATCACTTAACATTTAACAAAAATTATCTTGGGCTGGTTATGCGTTATGGAATTATCTATTCACTGGAGCATAATGCGCAGATCCAATAATCTACAACCACAGTTCTCAATTATTTGGAGATATAATCGGGCCACATAATCTGCGGACTAATACCTTTGGCACGATTTTTGTTCGTTCAAAAATCTAATTACAATATCTATACTGAACCTAATTGTTCTTTCAAAAAATCCAATACAATCAATGTTGAATTCAATCTTGAGTTGCACAAACAGTAAAGATGAATAATTTCCAACATTATCTGGCAACATAAATAAAAGCCCTCTGTAAAAAGGCAGTACACTTTTTCTCCCAAGGCAGCATGCAGCATTGTCAGACCAAATAAATGCAGAGTAAAAATATTACCTTCAGCAACCAAGTGATTAGAAAAAGAATGGACATAACTATTTTTTATTTGATATTTATAACCAAAATCTTACTGGTAGTTGTTTTTCCTTGTACTGCAGTGGCCTTTTCATCCTCAGACTTCAAATTGTTCTTTTTCGATTTCCCAGCAGGCTGTAGATTAATTGAAAGGTCAATATACCAGCAACTTATAAGGTACAAGTAAAAAGATTACTTGTCCTGTATCTTCGCAAGTTATTGATGACCATACTTTCATTCTCTTTTAGTATTACCAGAACCTCAATTCAAAGAGGGGGACAGGGAGCTTTCTAACATCACTTATATCTGTACGTATATTAGACTTTTTATATAACTCGTCTTTCAGATTTTTTCGGGTCAAAGTAAATAAGTTCGAGTTATCTTTGTATTTGATAGAATCTTACAATACTATAATCCAAACCTAGTAGCTGGATTTTAAGAATTATAACTTAGCAATACTTACAGCCAACAGAGCAATTCGGATGCTTCGCTCCTCCTCATCTTGATCTGCATACTTCTCCTTTATCTTCTTCAGTTTACCTCTCTGTCCACGGCTAATTTTGGCACCATTTGGCTTCGAATTTTTAACATTTTTATCTGGGTGACTTGCAGTGTCATGATTTTCTTCCACCTCTTCTTTTTCATGGTCAATGGGAGCACCTTCAGTATTATCTTTTTGAGCATGATTTTCTTCCACCTCTTCTTTTTCATGGTAAATGGGAGCACCTTCAGTATTATCTTTTTGACCCTTCTTGAGCTTTCTTCTTTCAGCTTTGGAGATATAAGGTTTATCTCTCTTTATTTGCTCCTTGGCTTGTTCTTCCACTGATTCCCCTTGAGAAGACTGGAGTCCATAATTTTTTGCAGATGCAGTAGCAGATCCAAGCTCAAGAGCTCTATCAATAAGATCCTCCAGTTGCGATGTGGAAGTAGTATTTCTTTTCCGAGAAACTTCATCATCATCATTGTAATTCATTGAAGCAGTAGCTTCAATTGCTGAGACATGTGAATTACTAGATTTATCAATAGAAAAGGATTCTGAATAAAAATCCTCTTTGGTTGGTCTTTCTGTTAACAATTCCATGGTGCTGGGTGATTCTATTGTGGCTTTTTCATCCAAGACTTCACTTTCAGAACCAGAATCAGATACTTCTCTAAAAGGTTCAATTTGCTCAGTGTCATTCATTTCTTCCCCTTCACCTCTTACCCTCCTTTCATTCAAATGAGATCCCAAGGAACTCTCATCCAAGCGAAATAAAATTCCAAAACCCATAATGAGGGGGTGTGGTGGAAGAAAGTTCTTTTTACCACGAATCATGAAGCTACCAACTGTAAGATATTCCCCCGTGGGAGCTGTTTTACTGACTTGGTGAGGGTAAACCCACCAGGCACTAGTCACAATTTTTGAATCCCAAGCCTGGCTATGGCAGACCTACATAACAATGTACATCGTTGATTTGCTTATACTTCCATTGCGAAGGCGTGATCATAGACAGAAAACATAATTGCAACTTACTGTGAAACATCCTGCTTGGTTCAAAGTGAGAGGGGGTACAGTGGTTTCGGGCTTGTGATTCTTTATCACAGTGCTAGAAGCTCCATGAAGATCTGCATGGACATACCTGTATTTCACAACAATTGATCACTACCCTTATGATATAACAGTTCTCTATCCCACGTGATGATACAGTATAATATTTGATTTTTGTTTTGTGGACAAGACGAGAGCAGGGAGAGATGCTGGGGATGAGGGGTAAATAGAAAACATTTAATACCACCAGGAGCTAGCAATTTCTCAGTCAGTAAACTAAAGGCCAAAGGTTCAATCAATTCTATAATCCAAATTTTGTTTCTCTCGTGAATAAGCAGTAAAATATGTATATGTAATATATCATTTTCAGCTTCAATCAAGCCCACAAGTAAACAACAGAAAGAAACATGAAACAAATAACAGAGAAGCTATTCATGGATGAAAAGAACATCCTGAGCTGAAGTAAGAGAGGTAACATCCTTCCCATGAATGAACAGTACCCATCAAGTATTTTGAAATTATTTTTCAGCTGTGAATCAAAACTTTGTAGAAGTTCTATCTAAAACTTTTTGATATCAAGTCCATAGACATGACAACCGTAAAAAAAATGCTAGAAAGAAAGTCTCTGAACACTCACAGATCTCCTTTAGACATATAACGTTTGACTATCATCTCGTTCTGTTGAGCATCACGTCCACTGATAACCAGATAATTCTCACTACTGATGAACCAATTGAATTTTTCAAACCAATGAACTTTGCGCATGTGTGAAATTGTGGCTACTGTTTTCTCCTGCAAATTATGTATATGTAAGTACTACCACCTCACAAGAAAAGGATAACAATACAGCTCAAGAAGATGTATCAGAATAGCAAGTAAAATGCTAAATAAGTTGGTAAAATAAGTAACATCACAGTGGCTTTCCCTTAATTAATTTTATGGTTTCCAATTTTAGAACTTACATCTCAACTACTACCTAAATATGATCACAAAAAGATGCCAAGGAAACAACAATTAGTTATTTGTTCTTTAGTTTCAATCCAATTAGCATATTGAAACTTTGTGTAAATTTATAACACGTGAACTTCAACCACAAGAAATATTTATCCTTATATAGAAGATTAACAACAGTACTCCAAAATTTTCTGTACTAAAAAGAATTGTATTCCTTCATTATGGGAAAATAAAATCTTCCTTCACTATTTCCTGATGATTATGAGAAAAATGTCATATTGAAAGCACCGAGCCTAGGTACATTTTCCTTATCCATCTTAAAATCATTTCTTTATTTCTTCCTCTTCAAAAGGTTTCTCCAGCCTGGGATCCTGCCCTCCCAAATCAGAGACCAATCTAAGACTCAATCACCAGATGTTTATCAACTTCGCTTGAATGATCTCCTATAAAATCTGTGATCTCTCCCTAAATTCTTCCAAGGTCTCCAAAAATGTATCCTGAAACAAGCTCAAATTTCTCAAAAATGTTTCTCCTAATATTGCTGTTTTCCACTTACCTGAATCAAGCTCAAATTTCTCAACGATGTTTCTCCTAATATTGCTGTTTTCCACTTCATTGAAAAACTCAGAATCATGATTGCCTTTTTCACTCATTTTAATTCTCTTTTAACCCCAACTACCCTTAACAGAATTTATGGTACTCACTGTCTCAGTTAAACTCTCCTTGACATCCAAACCTCACCCAAATCTCTCCATTTCCCAATCCCATCGAATAATCAGGTTCCTTCAACATTGAACTCTTCCTCAAGGACTTCAATATGTGACATGGTCAAAAGACTAAACAAGCACAACACTTCAAAAATTTTGAAAAGCAAATTATTAAAACCACCAAACAAAAAGGGAAAAAAAAGTGTTGAACTTGTTCCTTAAAAAGAGGCTAGCGGTTCTCTGGGATGTAGCTGTGTGAACCAAGATGTATCAATTCAGATTGATGTCGAGAAGATCCACACGCACGTAAAAGAAAGGAAAAATCTAGGCAGAATGGCATATTAGTTGTCTAAAATGTCTTGCTTGATCAATGTCTCTCATCTTCAGAAATCTTTGCATCAGGCAGCAGCAAAATTCATTTACGAAATTATTGGTAACTGAGCTAAACAAGGTTCATATGATTCAAAATGAAACATCAAAATTTAATTTTCAGGAAAAAAAAAAGCACTAGTATCTCAACAAATAGAGTCAAAAGTGAAAGTCACTAAATTATTCAGCTACCTGTGACAGTTGTTGACGGGACTTTCTCTCAGCAGCCTTGAAAGCCTTCTCGTGTGCTGTAGCGGTCTTCTCCTGTTTACTCTCCTGTCTCTTCTTCATTTCATAATACCTTCGAGCATTTGCATGAGCCGAAAGTGCCAGATCAACTTCTACCTAGAAATATGAAAGCGCAAAATTCATGCCGAGCATGTATGCAAAAAGCATGGAAAGTTTCACTCAGTTAAGCCAAATCATACAGCCAACAATTGTTAATTTTGTCAGAGTAATCAAAACATAGTTCAAAACCTCAATAAAGATGAGGCATAAAATTCGTATGATTGTACTTGCTTAGCTTCATGAATATGAACATATTCCTTTCCATTGTTTAAGTACACGTAGTACAGCTTCATAATTTTGAATTGTGATGGATGCCAAGTGTCAAAAGGTGAGAACTCTTAACTTCATATCATACCTTGTCCACAGGTTGTGTCTTCTCATCATCATCCATCTCGTCAAGATTGTTGCTCAGGAGCAGTGTCATGCAATTTTTTTCAAGGTGAAGTTTGTCGATGAGGCCAGCAACAGGGTTTCCAGATTTCTTCTCTCCTTTCACCATGCGTGCCAGATCATCCCAGCTCATACCATTTGCAAGAGCTACACGAACTGCTAAGATGGCAGCATCTACATCTTCTAAGTTATACTCTATTAGTTCAGCCATTCCGACACTTTGTTTGACCTCTCTTTTCAGTGCATGTACACGGCTTTCCTGTAGCATTAAGTAAAAAACATTTACAATATGTTTGACTAAGCTTAAAATCCAATTAAAATTGAAAATATAGTCGTTATTGGATCTCACTCGTCTAATAAAAGTCAACAATACCGACTAGTTTTTCAATTTAAATCCGATTTTAATCTCTATCGAACACGCCATTAATGTTAGCAGCGCAGCATTCAATATCAACTTAATGCAAACACTTGGCTAAATTAGTTCCAACATGCTTCTTCAGAATTTAGTTCAATTTTCAAGATATCCTTAGGGAAGGTAGAATGCTCTGGCCCTGGCCCTGGCCCATGTTGTCCCGCCCCAAACCCGCACCCACTCTTATTTTTTATTTTATTTTATTGTTATTAAGTTATTTAAAAAATAAACTGATAATAATTTTGTATTAAATAAATAAATGAGTAAATAGAGAAATGGGGATATTAAAATCCCCAACCACAAAAATCCCTGGCAGTGTGGGGTCAAGGAGGGTCGCACCACCCCGCCCCATTGCCATCCCTATTAACATAAACTCAGATGTTTAAAAAAAGTGTTAACTAATAACCCAATCCACACATTTCTTAGGCATAATTCATAACATAAACAAAGAGGAATAATTTCAAAACAAATCATAACAAAAAGAAACATTATATGTGATGGCAATGATGCACCTGATCAATCCGTATTTTATTAAGCTTCTGCATAGCAGAGCTCTCTTTTGCCTTTTGTTGTTGTTCAGAACGCTGACTCTCAATTTTACTGTAGAATTCATCTAATGCAGCATCAAATGTTTCAAACTTGGTGGAATCTCTTGATTTGAACTGATTCAGCAACAGCGGGCAGAATTCATCATAGATCTGTACAAGTGAAAAAACACTATCAGCACCGACATTCATTATGAAAAGACATCTACGTGCATCCTTGAGTGCATAAAAATAGGGATAGCTGAAAATATCAAAGGTAACCTGCTCAGAAGTTCCTGTGTAACTCATGGAGTCATTCTTTTTCCCAGAATTCTTTTGCTGCATTACGATGTATCCTTCTGGAACTTTCTCACCAGATATAACATCTGTCAGCCAGTCTTCAAACCTTGCAACAGCATCAATCAGAACCTGGATGGTATTATCTTCCAATTTGAAATCCTTCCCGATTCTTGTGCTTGGAATCAAACTGGCATCTAATATAATATGTTCTGATAGTGCAGGGCCATAACCCAATGTTTCCCCAAGAACAACCTTCAGGGTTGCCTGCTTGGCATGAGCACTATCACTTCTATTCGATTCAATAAGCTTCCTGTTCTTATGACTGCCTAACTTCCCTTTAGGCACACTGGAATTATTTCCCTGCTCATTACTATCTAGACCCTCACCTTTACCAGATTCCAAAGAAGATGTTAGGGCTTCCCACAACTTTTCACTAGTTGTACGCTCAAAAGTTCGGCTTATTTCAACTGGATAGCGATGGCGTGGCATGATTGAGATTCCTTTATCATCATCCCTGTTATTGAAAAATATAATAATGTCCAAGACATGCAGCTAATAAATAGAAACACATGTTGTGTAGCCAATGAAGAGAAAAGATACTAGGATTCACCCACCTGTGCGACCGCAGGAGAGTCAAGACAGTGTACTCGGAGTCTGTGAGAAGAATATTCCCTTGGGCATACAACTCCAAAATTAAATAGTGAGCATTAACTCCCAATCCAAATTGGAAGAGTATTATCTAAACACAACATCAAATTCAAAGTTATGATATCCTTTTAAAAAATGATTGTTTCTTAGTCAACGAAAAGTACAGAAGGCTAACAGACATACCCTGTCATATCCAAGTTGTCGCACATCCTCGAGCCTTCTTGTTCGTATGTGTTTTCGTAATTTCAATGTAAAGCCTGATGGAGTATTGCTTTTGTCCCTGTCAACCCATAAACAAAATCTCTATATGTTCAGGAGAAACTCATTTCAATTCCCACTCACAATTTTTTCCTTTATTTGTTTGGTATAGACCTTGGTTAAGCATATCACATTTCAATCATATTAAGCTTTTTGCATTAAACAATAAACTCAGAAGCCTTATGTTTCTCCTTTCTAGAAACCATAAGGAATGCACTAAATTTTGCTCAACATTCAAGTCTTGTCTTTCCACTTCCTTAATATTTCACTTTTGTTGTTATAGATTGCAATTAACACAAAACTTAAGTTGGACATGTACTAAATCACATCATTGTTTACATGAAGCTTTCATTCAATATCTCGAAACTTAAGCCTTGGACGCCATTCATCAAGGCTTTACCTTGATTACAGAAGCATTCACCCAGGGAACTCACTTGTCTTCCCTCTCTGGACTTTTTATTACTGGCCTCAGCCTTTTGGACTAGTTCTTCTATAGCCTATAATGTTTTAAGGGTTTTCTTAAGTTACTCTAAACAAAACCCAAATCTTGGGAACGAGAAGGAAAAAAAATAAAGAAAAAATAGAAATGGAGAAGTGACAAGAGACAAGAGACAAGAAAGCAAGTGAAGCAAGCGTGCTCTAGCCTCCTACAATCAAAGTGACATACACCCTCTCCCAAGTGAAGTGCAACTATTTGCAACAGCCTTCACTCTTTTTCTTTCTTTTATATTTTTCTTGTTGTCTTCAGATTTTTTTTTGTTTTCTATTATCTGTTTGTTTCTGTAGGGAAGTTCAAGGGGAAGGCTTTATTGAAATAGAAAGCAGGTGATACGAACCAAATCTACCGATAATTCTCCGAAAGACTTTTTTTAGAGAATCAAATATGCTGATAAATCGTATATTTAGTTTTAGTAGTATATTTCAACATGGTTTATGATTCATTACAAGTACATTAACTCCTCAACCCTTATAAAGCAGATAACAAAGGAGATTTCTGGAAATTATACCGAAGATAAGCAGTGGTATGCAATCTGATACCACTTTCCATCAACAGCAACACCTTTTCGCTCTCCCCTGACTCCGTAACTCCACTGCTATTCATCAGCTTAAACACATAAGTCTGCAATATATTTTTACTTTCATTTCAATTCATGTAACAACAATTTATATAACAACAATATTTATAGAGACGTGGATACCTTAGGAGAAAGGTCGTAGACGTTAGAGCAGCGCATACCAATCAGGTGACGGAGGCACTTGACCTCAGCCGCCACGTCAGCAGTGTTCATTCGCACTTTCACCATTTTTGATGAAATTCTAGTTTTTTTCTCAAACTAGATATGTTCAATCAAAATTGATTGTGTGAGAGTTTTGATGGCTGAAAGATCAAAGGGATTATAAGAGCGCGGAGCCAGAAATATGCATTATGGGTGGCAAAAATTTTAAAAAGTTAAATGTAAAAATAAAATTCATGTATATAACAAAAAAAGTCATAATATAACATTATTTATTTCAGTTGTATCCGATGTTTTACAACATAAAATTCTATATAATATAATCTAAATCTAAATTCATTGGAATTTCTAGTTCGACGCCAAATCTAAGAATCCTAAATCAACTCGTACTCCAACATAAATGCAATTCAAGGGGCTAAAGGTCAAACGAAGTACCTACTTACGTAGTTCGTTAGGGCTTCAAAGTGAGTGAGAAATTAGAACCACAATAAACTGAAGCGTTTTGTAATGCTTTCAAAAACAAATCAAAGCCTGAAAATAAATTTTGATCTAGAAACCATGAGTTACTGATTAAAAACTGCAAGTCTGTAACAAACAAAAACCATAAACATAAACTGATAAAAGTTAAAATTGTTTGTTAAATAATAACCACATAAAAATCAACAAACAAAAGAGAACAAAAAATCCAATAGATGCAGGCAGCAAGAAGAAAAAACAATTAAACAACAGTTTCCACTAAAAAGTTAAAATTGTTCGTAAAATAACCACGTAGAAATCAAACAACAAAAGAAAAGAAAATATCATATATGAAGAGTGAAGACACCAAGTATAGATGCAGGCAGAAAGAAGGAAAAACAATTAAACAATACTTACAGTAAAAAATAATTTACACGAAAATAAACAATTAAAAAATCCAATGAAGGAAAATGCAAACTAAACAAATATCTAGATAAAAATATTTAGAGTCTACACTCCTTTTCCACCTCAGACACCTCTCTCTCGTGGGTCAGTTTCAACACCCGCGACCCACTCAGGGACTCGTCTATATTTACATTTGAACCGTTATTTATCTCTACCTTATAATCCTTCCCTTCCAGTCATCTGTTCTTACTGAATTTTGGTTCTCCTCGATTATTCTCATAGCTATTGTCCTTAACTTGGGATTCAACAGAGGTTGAATTGCTCCTAAAATTTAATGCCACGTTGGCTATAATAACAAGGAATCTATTATTTTTATCCACCCAATTCAAAGCACCGGATTGATCCCAATTCAAAGGTTCAGTAAATCCAGGGGCGGATGCAGGATTTTCGATAAGAGGGGCTGAAACTTGGGAGAGTTAATGTAATAAAATTTTGGTAAATGACACATAAAAACTAGGCACAATCAATTGGACTAGATAGAAAATTGGAGAAAAATATATTTATGTTACGAATTGATAGAACCATTGAGTATTCATTTAGGTATCATATCATACAACGAAATCAATTCAACGTCGGTAGTTCAACATATCACCACTTTTTTAACAATTGCACATTGGTCCCAAGAAAGCATTTTCAGCAACTAAGATAGTGTCACCAGCAAGCATATATGCTCAGTGTTTCAGTGAATATGATTGTACAGCAGACATCTTTAGCCATATCATATGTAAGCAAGAATTCTCAACTTGATCTGATCGAATTTCAAACATTTCTCCTGGTACAATACCACAAAAATAATACAAACTCATGAGGAACAATCACCTTGCTTTTGGTGTTTGCATTCTTTATCTGCTTAGTAGTGAATGAAGAACATGAAAAACTAAATCTATCCCCCTTCAAAGGCCCGTCGAACCCACGAGCACCTACAATAGTTTATAGAAATTCTTGTCTAAGAAAGAACGTTTGCTACAAATATATACGCAAATCAGACTAGATAAATATAAAGTTCATCAAGGAAATTAAGCTTTAAGCCATATTAAATTGGAAAAAACAAACCAAAGATACATACAAGCAATACAATCCCTTCAAAGATACTCCATAGAAACAACCTCCAACCCCACCAACAAAACAAATACATAACAAAAGAGAATATAAACAATTCAATCAATTTTTAAAATCTCCCTACTAAAATTTCTTCAAGAAATTTGTCACTTTCTTCACCAATGAATGCCATTTCCTCAGCAATGGATTGCGGACCACAAATTTATCCATTTTTGCTTGGAAAGTTTTATCCCCAAATCCCCCTATTTTTACATAATTAGACAAGTAATTTAGTAAAAATCAGTAAGAACTGGGTAATAATTTATACATATTTAAACATAAAATCAATCCAATAGATAAAGACCAATTTGGGTTAAAAATTACATGAAAAAAACCTCATCTAAATAAACAATCCCATAAATTCAACTTGACAAAGCTTATAGCTACCTGGAAACAGAGAAGGAGATTCCCAGAAATTGGGTCTTTCTCAAACAATTGAAGTTTGGTACGGCGGCGCCTGGAGGCTGGGGATTCCAGCGTGAAATAGACAGAGTAGAGATGGTGATGAGGATGAGGGCGAGGGTGAGGGTGAGGGTGAGGGAGACGTAGTGCGAGTGAGAAGGGGACGGGGACGGGATATCCGTTTATCTGAGCTGGACCATTGGGTTTTAAATTTATTTGGGCTTTGCAATGGATACATCACAGTCTAAATCGGGGTGTACATCCCCTATCTGGGGTGGGGTCAACTCGAATAAAAAAATATTTTACACAAGTGGGTCTCACCTCATGTGAGAGGGGTGTAGACTTTGATGTACATGTTTTGATATAGGGAAAAATTCACTTTCCCTACTTTATCTTTACCCTATTTCAAAAATAACAAAACAACTTTTACATTTCAAAAATCAGATTTTTTGACCTATATATACACATATTTATAAATATTTATTTATTTATTTAAATATATAAAAAGATATAAATAAATAA